TTCTTAAGATTATATATGAGCAATTATAATAAATTCTATTCCAATTGCAATTCAATTGACTTTCAATTGCAAATATGATTAATCTACATAGCAAACAAGGCTGTAGTTAGTTACCTGATTGTATTAAATAACAAATCTAATATAAATTTAGTTTTCTTTGAATTCACATAATTGTCCAAATGTTGGCTTTAATAATTTCTGATACGAAATTTGCAATGAAAATCGAAACCGCATCAAAACATGATTTACATCAAATCCAATTAGAGAACATCTGCGAGTAGAGCAACTCCCATCTATAAATTATTGGTGTGTTGGCCAGGTGCAACGTGCGTCCCTTTGCTTGTTGCACGTTATTGAAATTTTAATTGAGTTCGCACCTGACTGACGCAGTGGCTCATCAAAAATTGAACCTTGGAACCAAAAAAAAATAAAATTAAAAAACGCCAATCGTCAATTGGACAGCAAATATGCGGCACATGCGACAGAAGATTTAAATAAAATTCATGCAATTTTTCGGTGGTAATTCGTTTAGTTTATTGCTGTCAATAAATTAATTCCATTTTCTCATTTGGCTGCATTTTCCAGCGGCCTGTTCGGCAATCTGGCTGCCTCGTCGACTGTGTTATTTTTAATAGCATTTCTTTATTTCTTTTTTTTTTTCCTCATCACGGCGCAGCATTCCGATGAGAAGCTGAAGCCGCAAATGCGTAAAACAAAACACAGCGCCACGGGCTGGCCGGGGGGAGGAGACGGCACCAACTATGGAGTGGAGGGGACGGCGGGGGCAGAGGTGAGGGTTGTCTGGCAGCAAGGCGAATAAATAAATTTGTCAACAAATGCGGCATCCAGTGTCGCGTCGTGTGTGGGTGAGCCCGAAACTCGCGTGGATGGGACGACGACACAAATAATGACGACAGTTGCGCATTAATTTCGTTTCACTAATTAATAATTTGCTGCTGTTATAATTTCAGTTATTGTTGTTCTTGTTATTGTTGTTGCTGTTATGGCTGCTGTCTGCTGTCTGCTGTGAATGGGATTGGTTTATTGTCCTATTAGTTCGGCATTTAAATGGTAATCAAGGCGTGTTCTGTTGTTGTCCAGGTAAGCTCGAAGTCACGCAAAGTCACAAATGAAAGTCCAAACAACAAAAGGCACAAAGCCCAATTCAAACCAACCGAGCGAAGCGAACAACTGGCCAAGTCACATAAACAAAATGCTCAGCATGTAGCTGAAAACAGGCAACAGCAACAGCAGCAGCAGCAGGAGCAGCAGCAGCAGGAGGAGCAGCAACAGCAACAGAAGTATGGCTGGCTCTGGCCAAATTGAAAACGAAGAGGAAATCAATTGATATGTAGCGACAATCGATATGCCGAGGTGTGGTCTGCTCTGCTCAGCTGCGGCATGGCATGGCCCGTTAGCATTCGAATTGGTATTGCCATTGCTCGGTTGCCCAGCGCCGTCTGTGTGTGCCAATGGCCGAAAAACAGAACCGTCTGTGGCCTCAAACACGGCCATGGGTACGCTGTGTGGGTGGGTGGTTGGCTTAGGGTGTGGGCTGGTGGGAGGGGAGAGGGGGGTACATTGTGGTAGGTGAGAGTTTGTCGTTCTGCTTTGGCACGCCCAGAAACCGCACAGCAACGAGGAGCATAAGCTGGAAGGGTGGCTGCTGGTCCATTGGCCTTCCGCCTCCTGCCTTCTGCCTCCCCCAAGCGGGCTGCGGCAACATATGCAGAGAGACGCACTGTAGCAGCCGTGAGACATATGAGTATATCCACTTGGTGTTATCCTGACAACGTGATTGAAATTTATGACTGGCAAAAATATACGCAGAGCAACAGCAACAGCAACAGCAGCTGTGAAATATGAAAGAAAAGAAAAAAACAGACAGAGAGATGACTCTCTCTCTCTCTCTCTCTCTCTCGCACTCTCTGTGAGCGCAGGGAGGGAGCCAAACAGCACGTGAGCTGAATGTGACCAAAAGGAGAACATCTCTGGCTGTTGTGTGAGTTCAGTGAGAAATTGCACTGAATAAAAAGCACTTGTACGCATTAAAACCTAATTGGAAATTTCCATAGTTCATATACTATATACTCTAACAGTCTCTCTCTGACTGACTGTCTGTCTGTCTGCCAATCTGTCTGTCTCAGTGTGCTTCGTTGTGCCTGCGTGTGAGTGGCTGCTGCTCTCTGTGGCATGTTCTACATATTTTGGCTTTGCAAAGTGTCACACGCAGCCAACGATGTCCGTTGAGCATCAAGCGCTGTCTGGTGATTGCCGTTGTTGTTGCTGCTAAAGTGGATTTTGCGTTTGGCTATGATAAATTGAGGGACAGTTGAGGGCAGCAGGAGCGGGAGCAGGAGCAGCATCATCACCAACATCACCAGCAGAAGCGTATGGTCAGCATTAGAGTATGTTGGGAACCAAACAGCCGTATGAAGCACTCATCTAGCTTCCAAAACCAGCGAAGAGCTGCAGCAGATGGCTGTGTGTGTGTGCTGCTGCTGCAGCTCACGACGGATTTGAGAGCAGCTTAGTATTGAATGAGAAGTGGTCAAATGTCATTCACAGTTGGAATAGAATTGCACTTGACTTTTCAAAAATATTGATAACTATGAATAACGAGCCAATACACTGTGCACATAACGAAGCAAATTAGCTTGAATTATAAATGTATAATAAATATTTATTAGAAATATTAGAAATATTTCAATTCAATATCACAGCTCATTCACATATCTATTTGATCAATCGCCTGGTTAAAAGTAAATCACAGAAATCTATTACTGCTTACAGCTGTGGCATTTAGCCAGTAAACACTGTAGGTTCTCGCCTTTACATTGCTCAATCTGTAATTTCATCAACTTCATCCAGATAACGAACGACAAGTTCTAAGTAATCGAATTAACTCGAGCATATTTCAATGTACGCCACTGCAATATCCTTGACACGAAGGAACTTCAGGACAACTGTGCTGCATATACAGACAGCTCAAGCGGCGAGTATGAAGACCTTTGCCGCAGTCACTTGCAGAGATAAGCAAGGGGAGCCTCCATAACCGAAGCGCCTGCCGCTTGGCTTTGATTTATTGTTCTGCTGGGCTCTCTCGGAGCTGTGAAAAGGCTGTGCCGTGCTGCTGGCAAGGCACCGTTCGCCTGGCACGCGCTTATCAAAGCCGTCGGGAGTGCCGGGAGAGCGTCGAAAATTTATTTATTTGCAGTGACTTTGAAAAGAAACTTCGACCGTTGCGCTGGCTGGCAGAAACTTTCGACCTGCGTGCGCATCGATTAGAAAACTTTCTGTCGTATCTTGTCTCCAAAAAATGAAGTGGAGTGTATGTCGGGGTCCTGGGCCCGAATTGGCCAAGTTGTTAAATAATTGCGCTGAGCATTTAGTTACCAAAGGGAGAAACAGAGAGAGAGAGAGACGGCACAAGCTGCGTATGCGTCATATGCTAGTAGAAAGAAGGAAATTGCAGCCAGAAGGTCGCTGCGGTCCATACGTGGCCCGGATTAGCCGCAAACTTTGCCAACAGCTTAGCGGCACTCGAGTGGATGAGTTAATTGTGCGAATGTCGAGACAAATTGCGTTAATGCGCCAAGCGCACAAAGGACGTCGACAGCGTCGGCGACAGCGACGACAGTGAACAAAAGGACGCAAAAAGCACAAAGTTGTTCATGTCCTGGCTAAATCCCATAAGCAAAGGTCACAGCTGGGGCGGAGGGCGGTGGGTGGGGACTGATTGCGCCGGCAATGGCAATGTGTGCGAGTGTCGCTAAAGTTTTTAAAAAGTATTTCAAGCAAAATTTATGCAAACCACAAAGCAAGCTGGCAGCCAAAAAGAGCCACGCAGGCAGCCAGGCAGGCAGGCAGGCACTCAAAGGACATGGCTAATCCCCGAGTAATCAAAGTTTGGCAATGCCAAGCGAAACGAGCAGCGAAGCCAGCTGCAAGCTGAAAGCCAAATATACGAACAAAAGGCGCTAGCCCAACAGCTCAGACAAATTGCACATAGACACAACATACACACACACACACAGATACACATAGAGAGACAGACAACATATGTGTGTGTGTGTGTGTGTGTGTGCTGAGTGGAGCTGGGAATGGGGCATCAGTCTATGCCCTCTGATGGGAACGAATGCAAAAAGAAAACACTTTTCCAATTAATGAAATCTCTAAACTGCCATAAATTTACCCAGACGCAAATAATTAAATTGTGTTGGCTATCACGCCTGCTGCACGCACACACACACACAAGACTTGTTGACTTGCGTGTGTGTGTGTGAGTGTGTGTGGGTGAGTGACATGTCGAATCAATTGTGCATTAACCATGCCCAGGCCACAGGCCACAAATAAAAGCGTCTGCCGGCCAACGCTTGAGCCATCAAATCGACAAGTGTTCAGAGAGCGAGAGTTGCTCAGGGAGTTGCGAGAGTTGAGGAGGCGAAAGAAATGTTTCGAGTGGTCTAATGTTTCTCTTTACATATTCATTATATTTATAAAAAAAAAAGTATACATCAAAAAATATTTATTATTTATGTAAATATATTTCATATAATAATTTTATTATGCATATTATTTTCCAAAAATATTTATATGAAATATATTTAAATATATAAAAAATATTTACTAAAAATCGGCTATTGATTCACTAAGGCATTTGTATTAAATTTGAATCATAAAAAAAAGACAACATATTAACATATAAAAAGCAAATTTTGTTAAATTTAGAAATTTTCATCAAAATATCATAAAGCTGTCAAAGAGTCGAAGTAAATACCTTTTTTTTTAATTTTATACAAAATAAAATAATAATATTTAAAATACATATACAAAATATGTTAAGTATTTAACAATATTTCTAAGAATCAGATATTCTCTAAATAATATCACACTGCTTTTTTTTCTCCTAATATTCCACTGTATTTGACAGTACTCTTTTGGGCTGCCCTCGCAATTGAGTGCAGCCCTGGCAATACAATTAGAACGGTTGAACTCACCTGGTTGGCACTGACACTCGCCATTGGCCGCGGAGCTGCCTCCGAGGTTCGCTGCTGCTGCTGCTGCAGCCGCTTCGGCCGCCTGCCGGCGCTGCTGACGTCGCGTTAGCTGCAGGTGGGAGACGTCGCGACGCAGACGATGTAGCTCGCGGCGCACATGTAACACCAGGTGCGAAGATGTGCCATTATCGCTGTTGCTGTTGCTGTCGCTGTTGCTGCTACTGAGGGCGCTGGAAATGAATTGGGGCTGGTCTGCGGGCCAGTGCAGCAATTGTTGCTGCTCCAGGCGCAGCTCCAGCTCGACGATGCGTGCGTCCAGCTCCTGCAGGCGCTGCACTCGCTGCTCGACACGCGTCTGTCGCACATTCGCATAGAGCGCAAAGCTGAACGCACACAGACACAGCACATAGCTGGCGATGTGCAGCAAGGACATGAGCTGGACTGTATATCGCGGCCGTTCCTTGCCGTTGGCTGCCCGAACTGTTGCAGATCGCTGCTGACAGGTGGCCGCTGGTGTTGCAAGGCGACTAGTTGTGCTTGTAGCAGCAGCTGTTGCTGCTGCTGCTGGCGTAGCGCTGTCAACAGCTGCATGGCCGAGCAACATCCGCTGCTGCTCCATATCGAGTGCTGCTGCTGCTGTTGTTGATGTGGCTGTTGTTGCTGTTGCTGCTGCTGCTGTTGCTGTTGCTGTTGCTGTCGTGCCTGCTGCGTTGGTGTCGTTGTGCACTGTTGGCATTGTCCTTGTCACGGAACTGGCACTGGAATTGGAATTAGAACTGATTGGGTGGCCGCCGGGCGGCGCTTTATGTTTGCGCATGCTGCGATTGAAGACTGTCTGTTGTCTGTTTTAAGCTAATGCCAGAGAAGTTGCTGCTGCTGACTGTAGATGTTGTTGTTGCTGCTGCTGCTGCTGCTGCTGCTGGTTGGACTGTGCTTAAGTGTGTTGGCGGCACTTGAAGTGTCCTTGTCGCATCACAAAAACACATGTGCTGCACTATGCCAGCTGCTCCTTTCTTTTCTGCTGTCGAGTGTTTGGCTATGTCCTTGCCGATGCTCTATTCCGTTGCGCTATTTGGGCAGCACATAGTGCCTGTAATGCCCCGACTGTTGTTGTTGTTGTTGCTGCTGCTGTTGTTGTTGGTATTGACGCTGTTGTTGCCACGGCATGCGAGCCGCATACAAAAGCTACGCGGCCATCGACTGTGTGGCTGCGTGGGTGGTCTCTGTACGCCTTCTGCTTTCTTGGCTTTTGGGGCAACAACAACAGGACGAGAAAATAAAATGTCGTAAGCTGCAAAACAAAACAAAAAGTCGCTGCGTACTTTTGGGCGCTGCTGCCACTTGTGCCACTTGTCAAACTCTCGCCGTGGCTGCTTTTGTTTTTGTGTTGTCAATCGTCACAGCAGCTGCTACTCCTGCTAGCTACTGGCTCGGCTCCTTGGCAACTTTTCTGACAGCGCTCAGCGAGTTTGTGCTCTTCACGTTTTTTACTTCTCCTTGGGCTACCGCGCAGTTTTCACTTGTCCCACGAGTGCTCTTCACATTGCAACTTATTTAGTTCTTCAGCTCTTGGCACTGCAACAAACTGGAGAGCAAAGTGAAAAAGTCAGAAAATAGTGGGAAAGATGGCAAAAAAAAAAATATATAAGAGAGAAAATAAAAAAGAAAATTTGTCAGTGAAAAATGCGGGGCGGAAAAAGTTTACAAAAAAGTTACTAGCAAATCGGCGCAGGCGTTTGCCGCATTGGCCATGCTTGAATTATGGCAACTGGACCCAGTCGACACATTTTCAATAATCAAGCAGGCAGCGTCGCCAGGACGACATCCTAGCTGTGACGCGTCCTGGCGTTAACTTCGTTTTAAGTTCAGCCAGCCGTGTTTAGCGGCGAGCAACTTGAGCCAGCTCAACTTGTTCTCAAACTTTTGCACAGTAACTGAAAAAAAACAACAAATACAAAAAGTACCCACAACATTGAGTGGGCGAAAGAGGGCGAAGGGGCGAAGAGGATGTGGGGGCACTAAAAGTATTTGACCTACAGAGTTGGCGTGTCAAAAACATTTGTAGCCTACCACTGTACAAAGTCTACGGCGGACTGGGTTTGCCTGAGACGCTTTTCAGCGGAACGTCACTTGTACTCCCAGCAAACAGACAGCAGACAACAAACGGGAGACGGCAGACGGCAGACGGCAGACGGCGGACAATATAAAAACCATAAAACAGAATTATTGTCATGTTGGGAAATTTAAGAGCAGCCTAACTTGAATTTGCTAACTAAGTTTTCAAGAATGAATCATTTATTCAAGCATCTGAGTGATGGTGTGAAAGACTGTTTCCTGAGTTTCTGAGTTTTCTACAGAGATGGGCTAATGTTTAATGTAGACCAAAAAGCAAAAAATCTTGTTGAATATATATTTTTTATTTAATTTTTTAATTTTTTTTTTATTTTTATTCTTTTTTTTAAATGCTCATGAACAAAAAAGAAAAGAAAACAAAGCCAATGCTGCATCAATGGAAATTTATTTTATTTTATTTTACTTTTATTTCATTATTTTCCGCATTCATAAAAACTCTTTAAGCTAATGAGAGGTGCCATAGATAAAACATGTCTTAATAATTAAGAAAAAAAGTTCTATTATATATATTTATTTACAGTCGATTGCGTCTGATAACGTTATCTTCCCTTGCTTTGTGTTTCTTTTTATATACAAAAGGAAAAAAGGTTGAGTAAAAAAAAAAAGTGCTGTTCAAGTATTATGTGCGCATCATAATGGATTACACAATACGTGTTTTGAATGTGTGTGTGTGTGCGTGTATATTGCGTAATCATGTGGCAACCACAACAAGAGCCAGCAGTAAGACAGAGGCTGAACCGCTCATAAAACTCAAAAACAATCGTATGAAAAGCGCACCACAGTACGCGCCACAGCAACCACAATACAAAAATTGAGCATAAAAGTCAAAAGGCCAATTTCGATGAGCAGTGAGCCACAACAACAACAACAACAACAACAATGCGAGCAATAAGCAGCTTATGAAGCAAGCAGCGGGTGCAAGTCAATGGAATGTTTGGTACACCCTAATAAAACTAATTGAAAGTCTTGTGCGCTGTGGGGCCAATAATAATGCCAATAACAACGGACAGCAGCTACAACAACGACAACAACAACAGCAAGCTTTTAATTTAACAAATAAGAGCGAGCCAATCCAACAAAACAGACAGACAGTCGGATAGACCGACAGACAATTGGCCAGTGAAAAGTCAAAGAATTGACCCGAATGGGCATTGCTTTAGCGCTGACTCTGCAATCCCACGGAGAGGCACGGAGGGGGACGTAGGGACGGACGTAGAAAGTACGTGCATATATGTATATATGTGTTTGTGGCCGCTGTCAGCTGGAGGTTAATGCTTTCTGATGCTAACTCAATATAAATAAATTGATTTCAAATTTCAACAGTTTGGCGCGCAGCTTTTGTCATTTACATGGATCTGAAGCAGCCCGGCGGGGCTTTGCCCCAAAAAGTATGCTATGAATTTTTGTGCGCTTAAATTCAATTATGTGTGTCGGTCATGAGTGAGCGAACAAGCGAACAAGTGTGTGTGTGTGTGTGTGTGGGTGTGGGTGCGTGGGTGTGTGTGTAAGCAAACGCTGCTTAGCAAGCGTGCACACACTCAAACATTTATATATATCTCTGTGTGACTATGTGTGTGTGTGTGCTCAAGGGTAATGTGTGTCCAGCTGGCAATTGAAAAATTTGATTTCGAATTGAAATGCAAATCAAGCAAAATAGAAAGGCATTAGTTGGACGAGGGCCACTAGACAAGCCAATCCTAGCAGGAGAGTCCGGCTCAGCTAACTGGGCGCACAATGCTCAATAAAATGTGGCACGTGTGTGTGTGTGTGTGTGTGTGTGGGAGTGAATCCACAAGCTGAAACCTAAACATAGCTAAGGGGCGGCAAGGGCTGTGAAAAGCTCAATTGCAATGCATTCAAAGGATTATTTATTTTGCTAAATTTATTCGTTACGGTTAAATGCGCAAAACAAAACACAAACACGCACACACACGCACACAGACACCTAGACATTGCCTAGGCAATTGGCAAACTGAAGAAAATGAAAACATGAAAGGGAACACAGCACACACATACATATACAACAGCAGGGCAAAATCAAAGCAAATAAACAATAAAAATAATCGGGCCGTTAGCAACACATGCGCATTCTTCACCATCATCATCAACAGCAGCAACAACAACAACAACAACAACAGCTGATGGCTCATAGAACAAGTAGCAGCGCCCAGGAGCAGCAGTTGACGCCTCAACAACCACCGGTCACATCACACACACACACATACACACATATAATGCTGGCAGCATTATTGCTGCCACTACACACGAACAACAACAACAACAACAACAACAATCATCAACAACAGCCAACATCTTTGGGGCTGCTAAGTCGCCCCAGCCCTGGGGCCTTAGGTGCTGTGCTGTTCGGGGTAATAAATAGTCGTCGTGTCATATGAAAAATGCAAGCAGTGTTTAAGTTTTTCTTGGCAGCCAGTTCCGGAAACATTGCCGCAGCTATACCCTCCCCACATACTCCTACTTCCATCCAGGCTGTGGCTGTGCGATTTCCCAGCTCTACAGCTACTATATATATATATATTTCCACTCCACTCTCCACTTTTTGCTGCTTCATCGGCGAAATTGAAAAACGTTGGCCAAAGTCGAAGAAGAGAAATGTAAATGCTTGACAGGCCAAAGGAAATCCAAACGAAGGCTTTGCCCTCATATCATTCACAGACCAGGTTGCTAAGGATGTGACAAGCAAATGCTATATCATTCAATCTCTCATCAATTTCAATATCTGTACAGTGTGCACTAGAAATGTAAGCCAAATAATAGTTATATACATAAATAACGAAACAAGTAAACAATTCAAAGATTTCGAGTCAAGTGTTTCAGGACAATGTACATAATAAAAGCCCAAGCAAGCGTCTTAAATTTCCAGAAAACCAAATTTTTTGCAACTTTATCGTCTTATGCGTAAATGATGTGATTCTGTGCCGTTCGTCCAAGCTCGGCTTTCATTGCGGCATGTCTCCAACACACACACACACACAGACAGTGGCTGTGTTGTTGTTTATGTTCTGGCCATTTCCTTATAATTTTTACAGCTTGTTTTGCTGCGGCTGCCGAAGATGCTGTATGTGTGTGTGTGTATGTGGATGTTGTAGATGCTGTGTATGCGGGAATTTACCAGTTTTTTTTTATGTCTTGACTACATACACTAGTACAAACTATTAGTGCTATTCATTGTTGTAATCGTCTGTTGGGTCTTTGTAGTTTTATGTGCGCTGTTTTACAACACTGTCGCACGCCCACTCTCGGAACAACGGCATCCGGCACAACTTGCCCCTGGGAGAAATTACTTAATTTCGGAATTTCAATTTAGCACTTAAGACTCCAAAACATGGCGTTGCCGTCAAGGATAGAAAGTGGGCGTGGCATTCACACAGTAGCCCACCTACGTACATGCAGCAACAATGAAGAGTGTATGTCTGTACGTGTGTGTGTGTGCGTGTGTGTGTGTGTGTAAGCCAGTGTAAAAATCCAACTTACACATGTTGTGACTTTTAAAAATTTCCGGAATTTTTGGCACGCAATGTTTGCTTTTGTTTACTGGCTACCAACTCGATGCTCCAATGCTTCGATGCTCCGATGCCTGTCATGCAGCCAGACGCAGCGTCTACTCCTCGATTTTTACCTCCCTCTGCCCCTTCTCTATCTCTCTCTCTCTCTCACTCTATATATCCCTCTCTAGTGCACATATTGTACACTTTACAGCCAACAGAGCGGCAAACTGTGGCTGAGGGGTGAGCAACACATCTCATATATATATATATGAATGTGTTGCATTTGTTGCTGCTGCAAGGAATTGCAACTGCGGCAGCAACAACATCAAATCCTAATATAAGTCTCAGTATCAATATCTCTGCACTGACTAAGCATATTGACAACTCTGCAATCTAAGAAAGCTGAATAGTTGATATCGTAACTAAAAAATGCACTTTATATTATATAAATAACTCGAAGAGAATAGATATCATCTATGCAGATAGAGCCAGATTTCTCTGCATTGGCAAAAGTTTTCGTACTGCTAACAGAGTATTCCGTCGTCAGTCAGCCCGCAACAGCAATGCTCCATGGGTTTTTTAATTCGAAATGCATTTAAAAAAGGCAAAGCAAAAGATATAAATTGAATTATTATTAAGTAGTATAAGCTATATGGGCATGATAAGAAAACGAAACTAACCAAACTAATTCTGAGAATTGAGATTTTTAGTTACAAAGAAATACAAAATATTAAGCAAAAAGAAGGCAGAGTAATACGAATAAATTGAATTATTATTAAATAGTATTTTGGCATGATAAGAACTCTACGCAACTAATTTTGAAAATGGAGATTTTTAATTCCAATGAAATTTTAATAAAATAATGAATTATTTTTAAGTACTATAAGCTCCAAGCAAAACAAAACTACGAAACTAACTCTGAGAATTTCAATTGCGAACAAAT